CGCGTTTTTCCGTTGTGTCGACAGCCAGACTTCTCTGGAAATGCGATGGCCTTGTCCCGCAGAGCACGAAAGAACGATAACCACGCTAGCGGGTGACTCCGTAATTCTTCGCCCCTAATAATGCAACGACTGGGGTCGGAGAGCAAATGCAATCAAGCCGTTAACCAGATACGGTACGCCAGCGTTAAAGGTACACTGGAAAGCAAAACGATTTTCGTGTATCACTGAAATACAATTTTACAATCCCTAAAACACCACCCTAACCACAGCATCACGTTTGGTAAGCGAGAAAACGCGTGAAAATAAACACGAGCATAGACAACGCCTTGAGAGTGCCACACCAGACAAGATCACGTCATAAAATTTGAATGCGTCTACTGAGTAGCTTCAAAACAATAAATTTGATGTACACTGTCATATCTGGATAACATTACAAGTTTCAAAAATTTCACAAAGCCAATGTCGCGAGATTACCAAATATACAGCATGTATTCTCTTCCCGACATGGCGATTCCTTGCTAATTGTATGGTCGAAGGCCCCCTCTAGAGCGCTCGAAAAGTTAACATTGCGCAGAAACGTGTCTTCATGTCATGAAGATCACACCAGATCACACGGTAGACATAAATACTCATATGCGTGACTGCGTGCTGAATGCCGGTGTTAGACGGGGCTTTTGTCTCATGCGTTATTTTTGGCACGTGCCATCCATGCACAAAGGAGTGGCCAGATTTTAATTATTGTATTTTTTGTGGTGAACCAACCAGCTATGATGAATGTGCAAGTGTGGACTTATGAGTGCGCGCAAAGCAATATAAATATTTCAGGGCATGAGCGAATCGGCCTGCCCAAACTCCCTCCTTCCTAGCCACATTTCTTGTGACCGAAAAATACAGTCGGAGAAAAATAGAGCTGCATAGTATGATTTTTCTTGTATGAATAAGTTTGCGCAAAAGTAACATGTGCTATACGAGTGCTGCAAGTCCTTGTTTAGAAGTATTCCGCAAACCATGTCATACTGGCATTCGAATTCTAAAATATTAGGTATTATAGGTTGGGAACCATGGTTTTTGTTAGGCAGAGTACTGTGCTGAGTAGACATTTTATACAAAATACGGCACTGAGTTGTCGTCGACAGTCTATGACCAATAGAAGGTGACTCAATGTGAGAGCGAGCAAGTGCACCAACAGCCTTGTATGAAGGCAAGTAGTAGGAAATTAAGGGCTAGTGTGTGTATGCGTGTGTGTGTGTGTGTGTGTGTGTGTGTGCGTGCGTGTGTGTGTGTGTGTTTGTGTGAGTGTGTGTGAGTGTGTGTGTGAACACAATGTCACAATGTTAATGAGAACAAATAGTTTCATTGTCTGTTCTCAAGAAATGCCATGTAGTATTACAAGTCCACACAACAAGACACTGGCAAATGACTCACTTCCAGGGCACGGCAATGTTTTTTCAACGCTAGCGTTCGCAGCGGACAACGTCACCTTGAGCTTATTGACGTGTACATCGTGGCTCATTCTCGTGCAGAACTTCTGTTTGATTCTGCACATGCACGCTGGCCCACCCCCACGTGGACGCGTGTAGCATGGTGTGACTTGCACTGTAATAAACCTAATAGAAAGACAGCTATTGCGCGCGGGTCAAGGCTGAAAGGCCGCAGCAAGCGCATTGGTCGTTAAGCTCGCAAGTAAAAACGGCAGCGAAGAAGAGGAAGTGTTTCAAGTGCGTGCCCAGAGACCCTCTGTCGGCTGCGTTGCAGCAATGTGGCAGCCGGGAAAACTTAGTCACGCGGACACGAGAAGCTGTGTGTATTGAGTCTGGTTTAACTTGTATGCTGTTTGTCTTTGATGGCCCTCGTGTATACGGACGCGACCTGCGTTAGCGGAATTTCTCGAGCACTCGTGTCGTGCATTATAGCTATCATTGAGCAAGCACCTAACGCAACCGGATTTCTTTAACACTTGCTTTACGCTTCAGTCGTACAACTTTCCTTGTGAAAAAAGGAGGGTGTATACAATTGATGTATGTGTTGGCGTGTACAAATGGAGGCCAGTACTTTAGTAACCGCCTCTGTGGAAGACTGCCTTCAACATAAGCCAAAAAAGAAGTTGAAAATGAGGTGCTTTTCATGCGACCAGACTTGATAATATGTTCGTTTCATAGAACAAGACAGTCCTTCATGATGGGCACCTTAATATTTGCTTCATATACCTTACTCAGGGTAGACCATGCAGATGACATATCGCAGCAAGTTCTTTTTACGACTCGGTGTCGTTCCGTGAAAGAATATTTTCATGAAACAGAGATGCAATATTTGAAGATGAATCTGATTCACACATACTTCAGGAAACACAGCGATGTACATAATCTTGTGCACCTTTGTACGTGGAAACTAGTTTGGCACCGACTTAGTCTCCTATCTTTATTGAAATAATAATAATAATAATAATAATAATAATAATAATAATAATAATAATAATAATAATAATAATAATAATAATAATAATAATAATAATAATAATAATAATAATAATAATAATAATATAACCATAATAATAATAAAACAATATTATTGTCTTAATAACAATAACAATTATGAAAATTATAATAACTGAGAAGAAGAACGTCCTTATTATAGTTATTATCATAAAGAGTTTTGCACCCCAAAACTACGTGATTGTGAGAGATGTTATTGTGGAGGGTTCCGGAAGTTTTGACCTTTGGTCAGCTGCCGAGCACCATAACAGACTGATTGATGATTGATATGTGGGGTCTAGCGTCCCAAAACCACTTAAGATTATGAGAGACGCTGTAATAGAGAGCTCTGGAAATTTCGACCACCTGGGTTTTTTTTTAACGTGCACCCAAGCCTGAGCACATGGGCATACAGCATTTTTCGCCTCCATCGAAATAGCAGCCGCCGCAGCCGGGATTTGATCCCGCGACCTGCGGGTCAGCAGCAGAGCAACTTAGCCGCTAGACCAATTTGGTGGGGCAGCATCATAACGATTGTAGGAATCACGGGTAAGAGGTAGCTACCGCCATGTCAACGGCCCCTTCGTTTATCTCTTATATCAATAAAAGAAACCATAACCACTGCTCCACGCAGTGGAATGTCCGTTTCTGAATACACAAATACATACTGTAGTAAGATATTTAAAAGTACTTTCCCATGCTCCGTATGCCATTATTGACCATGATTGCTGTACGTGTTCCTTTTTTGATATACGTTTTTGGCCAGTCTGAGTAAATCATACTGTTACCACACTTCACGCTAAGCAGGAAAAGTGCAAGGCACCTGTTCAGAGTATCAATCTTCATTAACTGCTCATCTCTATCGACCAATCTCTCAGCTGACATGTGAAAGGCGGACACCCAAATCCTAAAATATATTTACCTTCGAATAAAATAGCATACGTTTTCTTGTGACAGGTAGTAAATGAAGATCCGAACGATAGGACTGAAGTAAGTAAAATAATTAGGATCAGGCGGAGCATAATCTGAAACCATTCTTCAATCATGAATAGTATTCCAACAGTAAAGCTCCAGAGGGAGGTATGTAACAGCTGCATCTTACCGGTACGGAACAAAAACCTGGAGGACTACAAAAAGGGTTCAACCTAAATTGAGGACGCCACAACGAGCACTTGCAAAGCGAAATAACACGTATAACTAGAAAGACAGGAAGAGAGCAGAGTTGGTCAGGTAACAAATGGTGGTTAAAATATAATAACTAAAAGAAAAAAAGAAATGAACATGGGCTGGGCATTTAGCGCGTAGGCGGGATAACCGCTGGTCATTATGGATAACTGAGTGATTTCTAAAAAAAAAGCAGACGCTTGAGGGAGAGACAGAAATTAGGTGCTAAGAGGAGATTGAGAAGCTTATAAAGGTCATGGGAGTGGCGGCCGCTAGCATGCCTATTGTAGAAAGAAAAGAACAATGACGATTGAGTGTGGCATGTGGCACACGGTAGCCGGTGGCAGCGGGCAGTTGCGGACCGGGCTCCGATCAGTAAACATGACTCTTGGTCTCGACCTGCTCCTGGTTCACCTACGCGTCGAACACAGTCGAATTATTGGGAAACCTATATTGTGTGTGTGTGTTGTATGTGCATTAGGCGTGTGTGTGTGCGTGCGTGTGTGTGCGTGCGGGCGTGGGTGAGTGCGTAACTCTCCAAAACGAGGCTTGAGGGTTCCCCAATTTTTTATGAATATTGTGTAGGAGTACTAGCTTTCAGCAGTTTAATTGTCTCAATATTCACTTTTATGTAAAATTTGCGCAAGCATCGTACCGGAGGAAAGCCATAAAGAGAACAGACACGGAGAAACCAAGGTAGTCATTTGAAAGATATTTTTCTGTTTTAACACATATTTTTTCTACATTCGGAACTCCGTAGAACCGGTTGTCCTCCAATATGCATACATAAGCAACCAAAGCACATAAAAAATGAATTTACCGAAGGACGTTCATATTATTTAACAGATCATAAAGACACCAAGGAACAGTGAAATTAGACGTTTTTTTATGTTTTAGATAAACTGCATTGTGCTTAGGTGCTACTGAAGCTTTTGCTTACTTGAACGCGTATATTAAAGAGCTAGTTCGTTGAAATCAATGGAATTGTAATGGTCATAAGTGCTACAGTGATCAACGTGCCCTTTATAACAAGCCATGTACGTATTCAAGCAGAAAACCTACCGATCTTTGACTGATGTCGCAGTGAAGTAAATACATTTGTTCAAGAACTGCCTACACTTGGTCATGACTGATTGATAGATATGTGGGGTTTAACGTCCAAAAACCACCCTATCACTGTGAGATACGCCGTAGGGGAGGGCTCTGGAAATATCGACCACCTTGGGTTCTTCAACGTGCACCCGAGTCTGACCACACGGGCCAACAGCATTTTTGCCTGCATCGAAAGTGTAGCCGCCACAGTCAAAATGGAATCACGTGACCTGGGTCAGCAGCCAAGTGCCTTAGCCAATAGACCACCACAGGGAGACTGCCTACATATTTCCCTATATTTGCATTGCAATATGTAGAAATAAACACACTAGCACAATATCTGCACCTAATTGTTGAAATGTCCTATGATGCTCTTTAGGTAGATGTGCTGCTTCCTTCGCAGGTGAAAGAAGACACAGATCGTTCATTCAGCCAAGGTACGTCGTATATAACTGCTGTACAGGTATCCTTGACCGTCTGCAGAAAAAGAAACAAATTAAATGAAAAGAACCAAATAAAAAATTTGGGCCACAAACACAAGGTGAGTGTAGGTTTTGTGTGGGCTGATAATTTTATATTCAGTAGGACCAGAATAAAAGTTGCTAAGGTGTCGTTCTATTATTATGAACAGGATAGCTGTGTTAAAGTTACTCTGGCACAAAAAGCTTGTGTTCGGATTAATATCTAAGTACAGAGGCTCTGATTTTGATTTCCGTGTTCCTATAATCAGTTATTTCTTCTCTAACGCACAAACATTCGCCATTGCTCTCTATTTTTGTGATAGTGTGCGCAATGTTGTCCTGTATGCAGCCTCTATTTTACTAATTTTTCAATGATTACTTGAAAGTTTGTATTCATTCTTTGGCCTGTTAGTTTAACGATCTATTATGAGTGATGTTTCTTAAAGGCTTCATTTTTTAATAACAGCAAGAATCAGTTTACATGTTCTGTGATGGCAGTTACGTGCCTGATATCTCCCACTTAAGATACTTGATGTTTCCTTACCTACGTATGTTACGACACAATTTTGTGATCTCTTTGATATACACAAGCATTTCATGCACATTTGCATTCATTTCTTGGCAAATTAGTATAGGTTTTTCCATGATGTTCAAAGATGTCAGGTGACTCATGTCACCCTTTTAACTGCCACTCCGTGATATCAAAACGCATTTGACTATACTCAACGGTACGTGAATAAACACAAATTATTTCAAGGTATGTCCCCAGACATACACATACTTTAGCACGTTAACTTTTTCAGTGATTTCCACGTAAGTTCACTAGCGCGAATATTGATTGCACACATCTCAAATGATATAATGACTAAAATAGTTACGTTCGGCGCTATCAAGTTCTTGCATCAGAACTTCAAATGTGCATTACCAATTTTCTGTGAAAAAAGATACTGAACGCGAAGGAGTTACTTTAAGGACTCTTGTTTTTATGTTTTATATGCTACTTCAAATAAAGCGGGTTGGAAGCCGTATGTACCGTAAACTGAAGTGCAAATCTACGAAGACTTATCAGAGGTTAAAAAAAGAGATATGGTGTAAATTACCTTTTTTTTCTCCAAGGTTTGCTAATTATCACCATGTATTTGTTCAATCATCAATTCTTTATATCGTCCTCTTAGTTGGTAGAACTGCCTTCTTGCATTTCTGATCTTTTAAATATATTAGAATAAATATGCTTCAGGGTTTCAGCCGGACTACCTACCTCTCTGGATTGTGGAACACAGGCCTCCTTGGTGTATGTTTCTGTTACCCTGCATGTGGATTCGCCCACCTTGAACTTGATTCGGTAGTTTGTGCCGGCCACAACCTGTGTCGCCACGAAGTCGAGGGAGAAGGCAGGTTTTATTTATGATGTTTCTCGGTGTTGGTACATACTTCTTACATATGCAGCGACAATACTGTACGTGCCCTTAACGAAGTACTTCCATCAAGCATAAAATACTACTTAAATTGGTTTAGGCCAACATGAAATGCCAGGCTATATAAGACGCCCTTGTGTATGGAAGCTCATACTGTGTTCGCAAGGCATCCGACAATATTTTCCACGATCAACATAAACTTGTGGCCCCTCCGCTCTTCTGGTACTATTTTGTGTCTGCGAATCACGCTGAGAAGCTACGCATTTTTTTACACAGCTTGATGTTGTACCCCTGTAATAAATGATAATACTGACGTTTATTAAATACGTTTTAACGCCAAGGTTACAATGACGTCATTGATGCAGTAGTACTTTGTTGTTGTTGCGCCATCAACGATGTCAGGAATGCAAGTACTTTAAGTCAACTAATGACGCCTACAACATACGCATTTATTCCCATAGCAGAATTCTATGCCCCTTCCGTAATGTTGGAATATTTTTTGTGGGGTTTAACGACCCAAAACCACCATATGATCATGAAAGACGCCGTAGTGGAGGAGTCCGGAAATTTCGGCCACCTGGCGTTCTTTACCGTGCACCGAAACCTGAGCACACGGGCCTACAACACTTCCGCCTCCATCGAAAATTCAGCTGCCACAGCCGGGATTCGAACCCGCGACCTGCGGGTTAGCATCCGAGTACCTTAGCTACTAGACCAACGCGGTGGGGCTGCCATAATGTTTGATACGGACGTTGATTCAAGACGTCGCAACACCGTGGTTATAATTAAGTCATTGATGCAGTAGAACTTCATTGGTATTGAATGCCCAACGATGTATGGTAAGCATTATTTCAAAAATACACCTACAGCGACTACATGTTGTCGATCACAACTTAGAATCGAGAACCGGCAGTGAATTTAGCAGTGACACACTGTTACCATATTGAGAAAGACAAGAAAATGACTGCAGTAAGGCAGCCCGTTGTTCGCAAAACGTCAGGGCTTATGGTGATCTCTTGGACAAGTTTCTGCGCAGTAAAAGTTCTTTAGCTCGGCTATGTCCAAAAGCCAAGAGGTTCGTATTTGATTGGGTAGAAGGCGCTGCTTGGTCCTAACTGTCAGTGTGGAGTCAATGACCTAAAACTGTCGAGTACACTTTACGCTACTTTTATCTTAGAGCTTCACATATCGTACGTTGACTGCAGAAAAAAGCAGAAGGAACAAATCAAGATCCCCATGTATTTAGATCAGCATGTCGTCATAGAACAGAAACCTCTTTCGGAAACAATCACAACCCCACGGTTCCTTTCAGAGCCTAGATATACCGTTAATTTCATATAGCCTAAAAAATTCAAGAATATTGAACTTCATGAATGCGCTACTTTTTATTAGCTGAAGGACGTTTATAATCAGTGAATCAATTCCGTAACAATCTCTAATTATCGCAAGTGCAGTAAGGATGTTATTTATTGACGTCAAGTCCACCAAGTGTCCCTTTTTCTAGTATTTCTGAAATGCTCAATATTATTTGAGCTGTGTTGATGTTCCTTATAGAAGGTGGCTGGCATGTGTTTTTTTCTTCTCCGTAGCAACACATGTAAAAAGGAACTTCTGGACACTGACGCTTTTCGCACATACAATGATTGCTTTATGGCGAGTGGTCTCTTTCAAAGTGTCATCCCAGGTGGCAAGAGTACCTTCTTTGTGTCAGTCTTTGAGGAAAAAGCGAAGTCCCAACCTCTGAGTTCACACGATTTTATGAGGATTTAAAACTATTTTGGAAGAAAACTGCGCAGGTGATGGTACAGCAACAGAGCTTAAGACGTTTAAGAGAAAAAAAGACAAAATACATATTTAGCAAACATTTTTTTGCGACGTAAAGTTTTCGCACTATATCTATCTATGAGAAAATAAACCAGCAAACAGGTTTGATGGGTCTGTCTTTTCTATTACAAACGATTTTGATGTGGCCTCAGCCGAGAGCACTTAGCATGCTTTTCACGTGAGATCCAAACTATTTTTAAAATTAATACATCTCTTTTGTAACAAGCCTATTGTTTCTACCCGATTTTAATCTTATTCTTTATATTAAATCGTTCGCTGAAAAAAAAATGAAATTGGGTGTTCCTAAAAGGTTTGCATGTATTTCTGCTATCCTCAGAGAGTAAAGAGTGAAACCAGTAACTATTCCAAACATCGGGGTGTTCCCATTTAAACCAGAGACATTCGTCTTCCCGTCAACTCATAAATTAGATAATTTAATAAGTGATTTTGATTGCTGAACGCCGCATCCTTCGTGGAGGTGAACGGCTTATGTGTTGGGCTCAGGAGAGGCATGTTATATTACCATGCGTAGTAAGAATTGTCCCTTATGGCGTTCGGTATTGCTGGACACCCAGTAAATTGTGAGATCGTATAGCACAATTGCATTCAACTTTATTGATACTGAATTGCTGTCTTACTTATGTAATTGTCCTAGTAAAGCCACCGTAATGTTTGTCAGCTTTTAACAATAACACGAACAAAAATATATGTTTAGCAAGCGCGCAAAATAAAATTCATTCTTTTAATATGCACCACTTACGTCTCTACAGTTTATACGTACCTGAGTCTCTACATCGACCAGTTCGAGCACAGTGTCGAAGTACTCCCGGTCACCAATCTGTCTGGATATGGCAAAGTGCGCCAGCTCCTCAAACATGGCGTTGTCGCCAACGCTCTGTCGATGCCACCCGCCAACAAGCGCTGACCAAGCGGCACCGATGAGGCAGATGACAATCAGGACTGCGAAGCCACGCGGGGCGATTCTCAAAGAAGCCATGGTCGCCTGCAAGTTTTATAGGCTAAGGCCAACGAGACTCAAGTGCACTTTTTATTGGAACAGAACTGGCTGTCCTAAGTTCCACACATGGCATGCTCGCATTCGTAAAGTGTTCGAGCCTTGAAATAAATTGTATTAATTCACTATTTCGTTGTCAGAAAGCAATCCTCACCATACGCAGTTTTGTGTTAGGCAGTCTAGTTATTGTTTGTGAACAGGTGGGTCGCTAATACAGATTTCAGATGAAAGTAAGCCAGTTACCATGGAATGCGCATGAATACTTTAGGGGGGAAAGAAGCAACAAATGGTAAAAGCAGGGAGGTTAACCAGAAAGACATCCGGTTGACTACCCCACACTATGGGCTTAAAGAAGGAAACAAGAAAGATGAGAAAGAGGGAAGTGAATGGAAGAAAAAAATAAAGGAGAGACAGAGAGTAAATTCACTGAAGCGTGTATAAAGAACTCCACCACCAGTCAGTGGCGGGGCTAGTGCATCGCCTGTCTCATATAAATATGTCAATGCACTTAAGAGTGAAGCATTAGAAACAGTGAACTGCATGAAACGGCAGCTTATTCGAACAGCACCAGAACGCTGCCCAGATTCCGTTTTCTCTGTGTGCTTAGGGATAAGCGAGTAGCATGATTTTGTGCGATTTGCCTTCAAATATACAGCCATTTCACCTTGCCAGCCTCAGTAGTTAATGCCTTAATTTTACATTGCCAGCCGAGAAGAATGGAGTATAGCATGCACTTCATATATAAAAGTTGTTCCCACAGATAATAACCCCTCTAAAAGGCGTGAATCGAAAGACAATTGGTGTAATAAGAACAAATAAAAACGAGTTGGGTTGGTAACAGAATAAACAAGGATTCGTTACACAGTGGTGAATATGTGGTGGGGGGAGGGGAAGAGGGGAAACGGACGTGAGTGAGTTAGGTCGTGTGAAAGGCAGGTATTCAATGGCCAGTTAGAGAGGCACAGTTGACGCCAAGACTTGGAACATGTAACCAACCACGGTGTGGTTTAGATAAGTTAAAAAGAATTAGCAATGTGCAACCGTTCAGGGAAATAAGTACAAGCCTAAGTAAGCATGTTGGCTGTCGCTGCAAAGTTTATTCCTCTCAAGGTGGACGCAACGTGCGATTTTAATAATACTTATTATCATTATAATATTATCATCATCATGACCTTGTAACCACATCACAGTAACCGGCTCTGCCGGGCCAAGTCGCACAAGTCCTTGGGACATAAACAGGTCCATTTCTTTGTATTTCTTATCAATGTGTACTATAGTATTATTATTATTATATTTATTGGCTCCACAAACCATAAACTATGCAAAAATTAGCTTCTCAGCTCTTACGTATTACTCACATTTGGCTATTGACTTGAAAATGTTTTCGTAATTTTGTTTATTGCGCTCTTATATTTCATTTTTAAACAGTGGGAGATATGATAAATATGTGCCGAAAGAACACACCAAACCGTTTTGAAAAATGTAGCATTTTGAAGACTTAAGATGTCGGGCTAGTAACCGCGACCGTAAGCTTACATCACGCGATTACATCCATGGTGATGTCAATGAGGCTGTGTTTTTGTGAGTTTGTGTTTCTACTAGCAAGCAGAGGCGATGTGAATGATGGTAAGGGAATATAAATGCGACAAACTTTGAATGGTATTCTGCTGCCTGATCACGAGCATTCATAGAACGGCAATGAAAGGCAGAGGCGCGAGTTTGGAGATTGAACTAGCGTAACATGCAGAAAACTTCGATTAAGATTAGTGCATGGAAAATATTTTGCAGAGATGCTGCCGTAATCACCCATACAATTTATCTCCGCGTTTTTTACCTTTATTAAGGTTTCTGCGCACAAATGCAGACCAACCAACTGCAATGGGCAATGTGTGCGTTTCATGACTATAACTTCAGTAGTGAGATATAAATGAAGATTATATGAACTGTTTTCATAGAGTAACATGATCTGACAAATAAAAAGATGTATTTTGGCATATTCTACTAATCATGTAATGTTTAAATTACCAAGACAAGAGCGAGAAGCAGCTTTAAACAGTGTAAAAGCTTAATCTGACCATTGTGGCTAACGAGGTACGCCGAGAAGTGATTGCCGAGGACAACGCACTTACATTCGAATCACCATGGTCTATGTTATTTTGCGTCCCCCTTGCTAAAACTCTATAGTACCAAAAACTGTACAAATACATTAGTCCAAAGCGATTGATTCTTCAGCGTGAATACATATGCCGGTAGGTAATCCCATCGGGCCGACAAAGTGCGTTCGAACTTACTTTGCGAAATTCAGGGATGCCAGCCGAAAGCAAGTGCGCTCTTGTTCAGCCTAAAAAGCAACCGGCCGAAGTCCTGATGCGTCGCTAAGAACCTCCGGTCAAGAGACTGGAAAGATTGCGGGGTGAGCTGCTATGGAGAGCCCAGCTATGATTCTGGGAATGGTGTCGTCTTCGAGTGCCTCCCGAAGATAGCCCAGAGCGTCTCGACGCATTTTCTTTGGATAGCTCTGAGAAAATAAAAAAAAGAGGAGTATAGAAATGTTGGCTGACCTGGCTGCTGCAAGCACTTGAAGAATGCGGGTGCTGCTCGTTGCCATGCACACTTTGCGGCTGTGCTAAACAGAAGAATGCGTTTTGCCAGGTAAAAGCCCTCAACGGAGCTTCGAAGCTTAATCTCACTCGAATGATTGTTTCTATTTTAACTTGGGTCAGCCGCTAAAAATTAGATCTCCGTGCTTCATTGTTATGCTTTTTTCACGAGGAGGTGCTTATTATGAGAAGTAGGAGGGTGGCACTAATTATGGAAAAGTAAGTTCAATTAGCGCTAATACGCACCACTTCCACGTCAGCCTACTGGCCCAGCCACACGCCTCTCTCACGCCAAAATTTGGTAAACAAGGATTGGGCTAGAACCAACGTTCCGACAAACAGAATCGTCTTCCTCAAGACTTTCTACAACGTTTGTGTGTATATGGCTGATGTTCACAATGGCTAATGTTAATAAAGCCCACGAAATGCAAACATTAAGATTGTTTAACGTCACTCTGATGCATCCATTCCTCTCAGCTATGCTATCAATAACGTCCACCTTGAAAACATAACCTCGTATAAGTATATCGGAATTCACATAACAAATAACCTTTCTTGGCATACACACATTCAATACATTATTAACAACGCCAATAAATCACTCGGGTACACACGCAGAAATTTTTCCAATGTCCCATGCCATTTAAAATTGTTACTTCTCAAAACACTCATAAGACCTATACTCGAGTATGCGTCTTCTGTTTGCGACCCCGGTCTAAAAACATTAAAAGCCATTATTGAGTCCGTTCAAAATCAATCAGCACATTTGTTCCCACACAGCTAGCGTTTCATTAATGAAATGAGATCTCGGAATACTTGATTTGCAGCTTAGAAGAAAAGTTTCTCGTTTATGCCTTTCGCCGAAAATTTCTTCACTTGAACAATTCCATGAACAGGAGCTCATATCACGACCGTCATACATATCGTCTCGTCTTGATTATGAGCATAAAGTTTTCACTCCTCTCTATCGCACTAATGTTTTTTTCCGACTCCTTTCTGACAAAAATCAGTGCCGAGTGGAACCGCCTTCCCTCCTCCATCTCGTGTATTGAAGACGCATCATCATTCAAAACTGCACTGAGAGATTATGTTATGTGCCCTAAATAACGTTTTGTTGTTAAACATGTATTCTGACTGACTTGTATTTTTATGTTCTACTTTTACTGCATTTTGGTTGTATTACTCACAACCTCTGTAACACCTTTATGTGCCCTGAGGGTTGTCGAAATAAACGAATAAATAAATAAATAAATAAATAAATAAATGAATAAATAAAGTAATAAATATATAAATACATGAATGAATAAATAGGCTTCGTATCTTCTCTTGCAATAAAAAAAAAACAGGAGGCGAGGGAAGCTGTGAAAGCTGGGGCGGAGCAGGAGGAGAAGGCAGTGGGACACTTCAGTCTAAAGGAGAGAGGTTTTCCGGGAAAAGAACGAACGAAGATAAAGGAGGGTAAGCGGTGGCTGATGACTCGCAGAAGTATGGTTGTCAAAAGGAAGTGCCACATTGCAAGTGGTGAAAATCCTAGACCTAGATTTGAAAATCCTAGGCCCCGTTCACCATCTGGGTATGCGACTTGCAGTCGGTGCTTCCAGGACAAGTCCTATCCAGAGTCTCTATGTAGAGTCGAATCAGTGGTCACTTCACCTGCACGATCCTATAGCAGTTTCACTTAATCTATAAAGGTACGCGCAAACATAAAGCATTCTTCTTTTTCAGCTATAAACGATATGACCGCTGCCACCCTCTTCCGTAAACGACCCGCAGCGAGAAAGCCGTTCTCTTTGCGTGTGAGAAACTTAAGTGAGGAAATGGCTGTTCCGCTGATGGAACTTTGTGCTATGCCCACAACAAAACACCGCCGTGGCAGTGGCAGCTTATACATTGTAACCCTTCATTTGCCGATATCACTAAACACGCACCAGCAGCACATAATAAAATGCATTTCCGACAACTCCGATCAAACTACTCATGCATAGAGTTTTATACCGACGCTTTTAAGTCGCATGCAGGGGTGGCTTATGCAGCCGTCGGACCGTCCTTCTCGGAATATGGTGTACTGCACCCAGAAACCAGAATATTTACGGCTGACGGTTATGCAATATTGTCGGCTGTGAAGCATATACGAAACTTAAATATACAAAAATCAATTATATTCACAGACTAGTTAAGCGTCCTAAATGCATTAAGATCCCTTTTCAGATTGATAAATCCGGTAATAATTGAGCTGTATTCCGTTCTGTGTACAGCGTATATGTCCAACCAGCATGTTACTATTTGCTGGGTACTTGGCCATGGAAGCACCGAGGGCAATGTGTTAGGTTACCAAATGGCTACGTGAAATATATTGCGCGCTATCAACCCTACCGCTACCGTCCCTGCAACAGATCTAAAACCCTTCCTACGCAAGAAAATGCGAAGCCACCGACAAAGCTTGTGGGACAAAGAAATAAATAATAAGTTTAACTTGATTAAACCGCGGTTGAGTTACTGTCCCTCCGCTATAAGAATACGGTGAACTGATGTCCTATTCTGTCGCCTCAGAATAGGACACACTTATGGTACCCATAGCTTTCTTCTGACTGGCGATGAACCTCCTACTTGTGGTAGATGTGGTGAGAGGCTAACCGTCCTTCTGGAGTGTCCGGAAGCTGAAATAGAGAGAAAGAAGTATTTTGCTTTAGCATACCGCTATCATCTTCCTCTACATACTACTACGTTTCTCGGTGAAGAGCCGCTTTTCGACGCAAAATCAGTCTTTGGCTTTCTAAAAGAATGTTTTTAGCCCAACAAGTTCATAGCGTATCCTCTGTCTAAACGATACCGCTGTGATAGCAGCTTTCAATGAGCCCAGGCCTCCATGCTCTTGTCTTGAGGGATCTGCCGAGGCACTGGTGCTCCACGCCAAGTTTTTATTTCATATAGGTATCATTTTAAAGAATTTTATGTCTCCTTAGCACACATCATTTGTCATTGCCATAACTTTACTATATGTATATTTTACGGACATACAGTGACTGTTTTTAGGCTCATTTACAGTCATGTCACATCTGTTTTAATCATACTGCATATCGCACAGTTCATTATCATCGCTCTGGCGCTCTTTAACCACATCTGGCCCTTGTGCCAATAAACTCCACTAATCATTGCAAGTGTAAGTAGGGCCGAAAAGAAAAATAGATGGACAGCTATGTTAAGTAGGTTAGAAGTCCGTAGTTCACATTAGCATTTAGATATGTATGTACCATAGCAGATGAATTCAAAAGTCTCATTTGAAACGTTTAAAGCCTAGCGAATGCAGTTCACTTGGCTAAGACGGCGTTGCTGTTCTTATTGCTCTTATCAATACTGCTCGACCGTAAAGTGTGTGCTGCAATAATGAAGCAATGTGCCATTGTTGTGTTGTAAGTACCAATACGACATTTGAGTGATTCGACTGCCCGACAGTACGTTTTTAGCACTCATGGTCGAAGCAGTGATATAAACAGCTTCATTCTTAAGCAAAAGATTGGCTGCCACCAAACAAGACTACAATAAAGCCACGCCTAAACAAGCACAACGTTTTGGAATAGTTTCCATTGTTTTAAACCGGCTCAATACAAGACACAAACAGTTCGGCACATCCTATAATGTGTGCGATCTCCAAGTGTTTCGCTCGAATGTAACACAAACAACTTATATATTCACCGTGTTTGAGCTGCTTTCCGAATGAAGCCATAAGCAGGCTTGGGTAGCATACATATATAACACACTGGAGATATATTAATGTATTAGGCCCAAGAAATGCCGCCAACACACAGTTTAGAATGCAGTAAAATAATACTAGTAACGCAATGCATCTTATGTAATTGAATGTAATACATACATGAATGCATCACATCAAATTGAACCGTCAGGTTGAGCGCGTAATGCGCAGCACAACCTGATTTTCTTTCTTTTGGGGCCACTACTCAGCGGTACAGTCACGGGGATGTTTTGTTTGAGTTCAGGAATATATCTGTGTGGTTGAAAAAATCTGTTGCTATTGTATGCGTGCCTTACATATTTTATTACTGCATGACCGCTATCAATGTCACAATATAGAAAAACTCATTCTCTACTTAGCATATCCCCTCCTCTGGGTAGGAGCCATAATGAGAGGACGGAGGGAAAAATATCATTAAAAATTTCCTGCAAGGTTACCGGACAAGCATCAGGTCATCCGAACATTTTGAGTGGTGAGGCGCAACCTTTGCACCTCTGTCTGGGTACAGTTACAGTGGCAGCTGGAAGAGCTGCTTTTCTATAATTTCTTCAGCGCTCTTAGGGCCACCATTGCATGTATATATATGTACCCTTGCATGTCTCTAACGAAGTGCTTCATTGGGCTGTTTGGTGCTGCATTTTAGACGAAGAAATTATTTAACAATGCAAATGACAGGAGAGAATAGAAGAGAGGACAACAGAGCGTCTGTTCTCGTCTCTTCTATTCCTTCCTGTCATTAGCGCTATTAAACAATTTCTTCATCTACCTTGTATGGATACCTCTACCACATATGTTTACATAATTTTTGCACCGTGACAGGCGTCTACTATGCCATTATTCTTCTGTCTTTCCGAAAAGCATGGTACTTTCTACACAATTATAAGGCATTATGTTTTTTTTTAATCGGCGCTGTGGCTGACGACGAGGTATAATTCGACGTCAGGCTTTTGTAGAGAGTTTGAGCACACAACGACCAATTCGTTACGTGATTCGTATTGGGTGACACCTGCTTGTTAGTTTACAGTTCTGAAATGCTTTACTGCACATGCAAACGCGGTTCTCTTCCCGACACGAAGCAGACAGAGAAAATTC